CTCTACGTTTTTAATTTACTTAAATATAAATTTAATTAATATTTATTAACAAAATGTTACCGCAAAAAAAACAAAGACAAAGGCCTTTCTATTGCTGCAGGAGGTGAGGGGTTCGAGGGCTACTACACACACACACAGCAGCAGCAGCAGCAGCAGCAACAGCAACAGCAGCAGCTGCTGCTGCTGCTGCAAGTGAGATTGGCTGCCATTGGAGTGGGGCGCCGGCTGTTTCTCTTGTGTGTCTCCTTTCATATGCATGCAAAGGGGCCCTTTCATGTAGCTTTTACTGTACGTACACCTGAGTTGCGGGTAGTTGCTGCAGCAGTCGCTGCTGCTTCTTTGCTGCTCCCTGTGCGGCCCACGGTGTCTCGATAGTCAGCCCAGTCAAGGGCTGCTGCTGAGCGAGCCAGTTCAAGGTTCCTGCAGCCTTTTGCTGCTGCTCCTGCAGCTGCTGCTGCTGCTGCTGCTGCTAATATATTTCCTGTTTATTCTGCAGCCCCAGCGCAGTTGTGGGGCCGCGCAGGGCACCCCCCGCAGCAAACAGCAGCAGCTGCAGGCCTCCAAAGAACAAGCAGCAAGGGCAGCAAGAGCAACAGGAGCAGCAGGAACAGCAGCAACAGCTGCAGCAGCTGCAGCAGCAGCAGCAGCAAAGGGGTGTCTTGTTGCGGAGTTCTGCAGCTGCTGCTAGATATTCAAAATGCTGCCCTAGCCCGACCCCCTGCTGCAGTGGCTGAGGAGGGAGATGGAGGGTGCTTCTCTGTTTGTCTCTTTTTGTACATAGGAGACTGAGACAAGGCCCTAGAAACCGACAGCAGCAGCGCAGCAGCAGCAGCAGCAGCAGGCGGACTGACTTGCGTTGAGTTTGCCCGCAGCGGGTCCTTTCTGTGCTTTACCCCGCACTCTGTTGGGGCTGCCTGAGGTGTACAGACACCCCAGTGCAGCGCAGCACAAAGAAGGATGCTGCTGCTTCTGCTGCACTTCTTCCTTAGAGCGCCTCAACATCCGTTGCTCGCCGCTGAAGCTTGCGAAGCGTTTGCTGTTATCTTTATTCGAGGTGTACGTACACCTCGGCATTGTCTCTTCATTTGAGGTGTACATACACCTCATTGATAGATTCTCTATTTGAGGTGTACGTACACCCCATTGATTGTCGCTTTATTTGAGGTGTACATACACCTCATTGATTGATTGCCTTTAATTGAGGTGTACGTATACCTCATTGATTTTCGCTTATTTGAGGTGTACGTACACCCCTTTATTGTCAATTGATTTGAGGTGTACATACACCTCATTGATTGTCTCCTCTCTTCAGGTGTACATACACCTCATTGATTGTCTCTTATTTTTTTCAGGTGTACGTACAGCACCTCGGCGCGACAGATCGCGTCTTCCGCTCTTCAGTCCGCACTGTCTCTTCTTATTTTAGTCTTCTTACTTTTGCTGCTGCTGCTGCTGCTGCTGTTTCTGGTGGGTCAGCAGCACAGGGCGTTTGGAAGCTTGAGGCGGAGGAATTGTCTGCGGCGTACCCCGGTTTGCTTCTGCTGCTGCAGTAGCTGCAGCAGCAGCAGCAGCAGCAGCAGCAGCAGCAGCAACAGCTGCGCGTGGTTTGTGCCAGCTTCTCTGGGATGTGGGGAGAAGCAGCAGCAGCAGCAAGGAGCGGCCCGCAGCAGCAGCCTTGCGCGCAGTCTGCTGCTGGGTTTGCTGCTGCTGCGGCAGCAGCGCGCATGCGCCGGAAGCTGCTGAGTAGTGGTTGCTGCATGACTTCAAGTGTGGGGCCCCACAGTGTGGGGACCCACAGCAGCGAAACACCGTCTACATGCTTCTCTGGCTTCAGCAGCGACACATGTCTCTCTCGCACGCATCTGCCCCCTGTCTTTGATGCTGCAGAGGGTGTCTCCTCTTCCTCGCCCCGTTTGCTGCTGCCATCAGCAGCAAGAGAGCAGCAGCAGCAGCAGCAGCACGCTGCACTCAACAAGAAACAAAGAGCAGCAGCGCTGCATGCAGCGAACGCAGCAGAAGCCTTCGATGCAAATAAAAATATTAATCACAGCTGCTGCCTCACCCTTGCTGCAGGGGGCCCCGCGGACCAGCGCAGCAGCAAACAGCAGCAGCAGCAACACTACCAGCAGCAGCAGCAGCAGTACCAACAGCAGCAGCAGCAGTACCAGCAGCAGCAGCAGCAGTACCAGCAGCAGTACCAGCAGCAGCAGCAGCAGTACCAGCGGCAGCAGCAGCAGCAGCATGAAGGCGCTGGTGCAAAGGCATTGATTGACGGGAGCAGCAGCAGCAGCAACAGCAGCAGCAGCAGCAGCAACGGCAGCAGCTCGACCCGCTGGCTACAGCTGCCGCTGCCGAGTGTACGTGGAGCTACAGTGTCTCCTCTTGGGCCTCTTAAGAAAGGAGACATCCTACACTCACCTGTCTCTGTTTTTTCACAAGCAAGCACAAGAAGTGCTTGTCTCTCATCTGCGTCGTCGCTTGGCAGCTGCAGCCAGCCGCAAACTCCTACTACGAGTTTGCTGCTCTCGGGGGCCCCCTCGCCCCACACCCGCACTCCGGAGGCAGCACCTGCACCTGCAGCAGCAGCAGCAGCAGCAGCAGCAGCAGTTAATGCACCATCACATGATGCAGCAGCTGCAGGTGGGGTTGTAAACCACCGTGAAGGCTCCAGACTTCGACGCAAAGACACCGCGAATTATGAGGTGTACGTACACCCCGCTACAGTCCTCAAGAAGAAGGACCCCACACTTTCAAATGATGCTGCTGCTGCTGCTGCTGCTGTCGACGCAGCAACAGCAGCAGCGAAAGCAGCAGCAGCAGCAGCAACAGCAGCTGCAGCAACTGCGGGTGGGGGTAAGATTGTTGCTGCGGATGGACCCTGTGCTGTAGGAAGGGGAGAGCAGCAGCTGCTGCTGCCCAGCAGCAGCCCCTCAACGCAAGATAACTCTGCTGCAACTTCTTTTTTATCTAGTCCTTCTTCTGTCTCCTCTCCATCTCCTTTGAGGCTCCCCATACCTGCGCGGGGCTTGCGGCGGCTGCAGCACCCGCGGCTGCAGCAGCAGGCCGCAGCAGCCCCAGCAGCAGCAGCAGCAGCAGCAGCAGCAGCAACGGGAGCAGCAGCAGCAGAGGAAGTAGAAGGTGCTTCAAGCACAAGGCCTCCGCGCTCGTTAAGGAGGCTGCAGCTGCCCAGGCTGCAGTCTCCACTGTCTCCTTCCTGCTCTTCATTGGCTTTGCTGCAGCGTAAAGAAGAAGAAGGGGCCTCAGCTTGCTGCGCTCGATGCATGCAGCTAGCTGCTGCAGAGGAGCAGCAGCAAGCCTTCCTATCGGCTCTCAGCAGCACTAACACCACAGCCTGCACAGGCTGCAGCACATTGGAGGAGACAGTTGAGGGGGAGTCGGGATCGAGCAGTCCCTTGAATGATGCGTTTGCTGCAGCAGCACAAGCAGCACATGTTGCTGCGCATGCAGCAGCACAAGCAGCAGCGCATGCAGCTGTGTTAAAGCGACAAGCAGAGGAAGTGTTGCTGCTGCGCAGCAGCAGCAGCTGCAAGCAGCCTCCTTTCAGTGTATATCCAGATCTCGATAGAGACATACACCGCGAGTATGATTTATATTGCAGGCTCCTAAGCCCAGAAAGAGATACCTCTGCTGCAGCAGCAGCAGCAGCAGCAGCAGCAGGAGGGGGGGGAGGTAGGGCTCAACAGACACTTAATTCTGAGCTTCAAGGAGGCAGCAGCAAAGCACCTCAAAACAAAACACATTTTGTCTTAGGTGAAGGAAGATACGGTAAGGTGGTGCTTGCGCGCAACAGACGCACGAGAGAATATGTTGCTGTTAAAGTCTTAGATAAACGCCGAGCTCTTGCTGATGATGCCTGGGATTGTAGACAAGAACTCGAAATGCACAGGTATTTGCTGTTGCTGTTGCTGCTGCTGCTGCTGTTGTTGCTGCTGCTGGCGTTCGAGCGGTGCTGCTGCTGTTCGGGGATGGTTCCTGCTGCTCTGGGCGTGCTGCTGCTGCTGCGATACCTCTGAATTTGCTGCTGCAGTCCTGGTGCTGGTGGTGCTTGTGTTGCTGCTAATGCTTATTTGCTGCTGCTGCTGCTGCTTCCACTGTGCTGCATTTGAATTGCGCAGCGCATCACGAGAGCAGCAGCACTTTTCTTGTTTTTTTCCTGCATGCATTGAGTGGACCTATAGATATATATATATATATATAATTATGTATTGTATAGGCTGTGTATAGCATATATATAATATATATAATGTATATATACGCGTATATATATAAATATATATATATATATATGTTGCGTATACCATGTATAGTGATTGTTTTACTTGTGTTGATTCTAGTGCATATGTTTTTCTTTAGTTTTTAGCTTTTGTTTGGTGTTATGTATGTACAATTAATTATTATGCATTATGTATTTGCTGCTGCAGGAGGCTGCCTAGACACCCGCACGTGGTGTCTGTCTTAGATGTTTATGAAGATCGCAAGCGTCTGTACATGCTGATGGAATTATGTGATAAGAATTCCCTCGTAGACAGAGTTGTTGCAGACGGGGCTTTCACAGAAGAAAGAGCTAAAATACTATTCGCTCAAGTATATGCATACAGACAGACACCCTACACACACCCTACACACCACGCATGCATGCATGCATGCATGCATGAATGCGTGTATGCGTTGGAAGCCCTTCATGCATGCGTGTTGGGTGTCTGTGCGCTGCGGCACGACGTATGCATGCATGCATGCATGCCTTGTGTTGTTGCGGAGGCCTTGCGGTACCTTTTTTTGTTTGTTTTTTGCTGGGTAGTGGTGGATGCATGCATGTAGATAGGTGTATTATTCGCGCAGCAACTGCTGCTGCGAATCCTCAGACTTCTACAACTACCACTGCTGCTGCTGCTGCTGCTGCTGCTGCTGAGTTTGCACGGGTTTGCTGCTGTGTTGTGCTGCAGTTGATTTCTGGAGTGATGCACTGCCACAGCAACAACATCGTTCATAGGGATTTAAAGCCTGAGAATATTTTGTTTGCTCGTGAGGGGGGTTCGAGCAGCAGCAGCAGCAATAGCAGCAGCAGCAGCAGCAGCAGTGCAGCGGATATCTCCGACGATTACTGGAAGCCTTCTTCCCTGTCTGCTGCTGAGGCTGCTGCTTACGCTCGCTCATACCCTCAGCAATATAATTCAAAGCAAACAAATAACACTAGTCAAACTAAGGGGCCCCCCTTCACTGTGAAGATAACAGACTTCGGCTCCGCCTGCTACGCCGCACCTGGAGAACTGAGCGGCACGGCCTGCGGAACAATTCATTACGTAAGCAGCAGCAGCAGCAGCAAGAGTAGCAGCAATAGTAGCAGCACCAGCAGCAGTAGTAGTGGCGCATTGTTTAGTACTAGATCATGCTTCTTCTGCTGAGGCTACTGTGTAGGTGCAGCACCAGTAAAGGCTGCTGTTGCTGCTTAGTTTGAAGAGTTTAATAGCTGCAGCGCCTTCACGTGCTTCTTGATCTTGCTGCTGCAACTATTGTTTTTTTTTTGTTGCTGCTACTCGTACTAATGTCGTTGCTGCTGTTATTACTACTTCTACGATTCCTGTTGCTGCTTCTGCTCCACGCACCTATTGCTGCTGCTGGTGCTGCAACTCCTGTTGCTGCTGCAAGTGATACTCCAAGTCCTGCTGCTGTTGTTGTTGTTGCTGCTGCTGCTGCTATTGTTGCTGCAGCTGGCGCCTGAGGTGTTGGCAGGGAATTACTATGATGGTTTCCTAAGTGATGTTTGGAGTTTGGGTGTAATTTTGTTTATTGTCGTCTCCGCAACTCCTCCCTTCTTCGGCGAATCAGACGGAGAAGTCGTGCAGCGCATCGTAGCAGGTTTGTCTTTTATTCTTTCTTATTCTTTTTTTTATGTTTGTTCTTTCTTATTCTTTTTTTTATTTTTATTCTTTCTTATTCTTTTTTATTTTTATTCTTTCTTATTCTTTTTTATTCCTTTTCCTTTTTTCTCTGTGTATTCTTTTTGCTTCTTTGTTTATTCTTTCTGTTTCGTTGTTTATTCTTTTTGCTTCTTTGTTATTTTTTTATTCTTTTTTACTCTCTTTTCCGCTTTGTTCTTGTTTGTTTCTTCGTGTTTATTCTCTGTTTATTTTTGGTTCTTTATTTTGTATTTCTTTACTCTTTGTTCTTCTTTGTTCTTGCTCGTTTGTTCGTTATTTTTCTTTGTTCTTGTATGTTTATTCTTTATTCTTGTTTGTTTTCATTCTCCTCTGTTCTTGTTTGGTTTTATTATTATTCTGTCGGTAGTGATCAATACTGCGTTTGTGTTTACTTCGACTGTTAGACAGATGGCTGTTTGCTCACGCATGTATATATATATATATATATGTTCTGTCTGTTCGTCTATTATATATATATATATATATCTTGTACACCCATTGTTCTTCTTGTGAAATGCCTATAAACGGAAAGATATGTATGCAAGAAGATGTATACCAGCAGACAAGAGGAGTTGCATATAATATATATATATATATATATGTATATATATATATATATATATATATTGAAAGGATATAGATTAGCTGTTTAGTTTGTTTCATGTGTGTCAGGGTATATTTATATGTATATATATAAAGGAAAGAATAAAATAGATGTAGTTGTTTTGTTTGTTTTATGTTTGTTAGGGTCATATTCTATGAAGAGTTATCACTGGAGACATATCTCGGATGAATGCAAAGACATCATCCGGCGTTTGCTTATTGCAGACCCGCGATGCAGGTAATTCTTCTTTATTCTTTATTTTTTATTATTTATTATTTACAGTTTATTATTTATTATTTATTCTTTTGTTTGTTATTTATTATTCTTTATTCTTCTTTGTACCTTGTTTTTTGCTTGTTCTTTATTCTTGTTTTTGTTGTTTTTGTTGGCTTTTATTTTTCTTGTTTGTTTGTTCTTTACTCTTCTTGATTCCTGTTTATTTGTTCTTTTTTCTTGTTTGTTTTTATTTTTCTTTATTATTGTTTGTTTGTTCTTCATTATTATTTATTCTTGTTTTGTTGTTGATCTTTGTCTTCACAAACCCTAAACAAACCGCTTAAAGCCCTAAATCAGTGGATAACCTAAACCCTTCTCTAAGCGTAAACCCTTCTCTATATGCATATTTGTATGAATATATTTATCTGTGTGCTTATGCATGCATGCATGCAGGATGACGTTAAGTGAAGCAGCATGCCATCCTTGGTTTGTAAGGATAACGGGGGGCCTTAATTGCTGCTGCTGCATGGGTTGTACTTCTGGTGGGGTTGCTTACGGCGAGGTGGCGTCTAATAGGGCATTAGAGGAGGCGTTTGAAGCTGCTGCTGCTGCTGCTGCTGCTTGCTGCTGCAGCGCATGCCACGATGAGAGCTGCAGTTGCAGCTGCAGCTGCTTAGCATCGCCCCCTATCAGACTGTCTCCTTGCCGCTTCTCCTGCTGCGCAGCACCAAGCAATGAAGACCCGTGGTTGTCTCCTTCGCATGCACATGCATGCAGCGGGTTCGCTAGGTGGAGAGACACCTGAACCTCCGTACCGTTGCAAAACCCTTTGTCCCTCACCCGAATAAGAGACAGCCTCTCTCTCTCTCTCTCTCTCTCTCTATATATATATATATATATATATATATATATATATATATTTCTCTGTCTCTGTCTCTCTTCTTCTTGCTCGCTCGTAAGCAAATGCTGCTGCACCCGGCAAACGACTTCTGCTCTTTATTCATACACTTTGAATGCATGCATGCGCGCATGCATGCATGGATGGGTTGTGGGGCGGAGGAGGAGTGGTGTACGTTGAGAGGCACAGAGGATGAAGGAACCCAACGACCGATTTACAGCCTCCAAAGCTGCATGCAGGTGTCTGTCTCCTCTTGTTCGTCTCTATGTTTGTCTCTTTTTAGAGAGAGACAAACGAGGGGGGGCTCTCCTGCTGCAGCAGCAGGCAGCCAGGAACCGCGGGGCTTGGCAGCAGCTAGCTGCAGAAGCTAGCTGCAGCAGACAGCTGCAGCAGCTAGGTGCGGCAGCTAGCTGCAGCACAGAGTTGCAGGAGACATCAGCAGCAGAGCGCTGCAGCAGAGTGCTGTAGCAGCTAGCTGCGGCATAAGATGTGCAGCAGCTAGCTGCAGCAGAGAGGTGCAGCAGCTATTAGGAGCAGGATAGTGCTGCTGCAGCTAGCAGTAGCTAGCTGCAGCAGTTGTTCCGCTGCATGCATCTACTGTTGCTGTTTACATGAGGCCCGATGTGAGGGCGTCTGTCGGTTTGTCTCTGCTGGCGAATCTGCATGCAGCAGCTGCTGCTGTCTCCTATCTCTTCTCCGCTAGGCGATGCGTCTATACGCACGCATATATAATAACTGCATGCACAGACAAAACTCGCAGGCCATGCAGCAGCGCCCGCGCGGGTTCGATTCCCAGTAGACAGCGACGATGTCGTCTTCGCCTCTTTGTTAATATTACTTGGGGGAGCTTATCTGCCGCTCTCTCTATCTATATACTCACCGCATGTATATATGTATTTATACATATATAGGGATTTATCTTTTATATGGATGTGGATGTATTTATACATATATATGTGCATTTATGTACATGGTATGCATATCTACACGCATTTATTTCTGCATATAAATATATATATATATATATATATGTTTATATGCATTATGTGTATATATGTATATAATGTATATTCGTATACAATATATAAACGTGTATATATATATATATATATACATGTGTATATACGCATAGTTGTACGTATATATATATATATATATATATATATATACGTACATTCCCCGCTTTAACCTGCCTCTTTGGAGGACAAACGCAACATATGAACAGACATCTTAAGCTATTGCAGAATATGAGATAGTTGCATATATACTTATATTAGAGGGGGTTTAGGGTTTTAGGGTACGCGATGTCTCCTTTGAAGGAGACATCTCTTAGCTGGAGTCAAAGGGACAGCATGGGGGGAGGGGGAGACAGATTACGTGCACAAGCATATGGGGCTCTCTTGTCTGCTGCTGTTGTTGCTGCTGCTGCTATTGATGCTGTTGTTGCTGCTGCACTGCCGTTCCCGCTTGGCTCTAGGCTGCATGTGTTGTAGCAGGCAGCAGCATGATGGCTAGCCGTCTAGCTAGCTACGCAGCTCAATAAAAGAATAACAATAATAATAATAATAATAATAATAATAATAATAATAATAATAATATTATTATTATTATTATTATTATTATTATTATTATTATTATTATTATTATTATTATTATTTTGTCTTTGTCTCTTCAGGAGAAGGGGCTACATAAATAAAGCCGATACAAATAATACCCCTCTGCGCTTATCAACTACCATTCGCCAACTGTCTCCTTTTTTATTGAACTGTCTCCTTTCCCTCACTTCCTCCCAGAGGAGGCCCTCTGGGGCTCCCATCTACCTAGAAAAAATAAACTAAGAAAGCCCCCAGGCTCTTTGAATGGGCCCTGAAGAGAGGCATTTGACTTTCTTGCTGAGAGAGCCTACTTATTTTATCTGATAGAGTAGTTTGTTTCTTTTTAGGGTTTAGGGTTTAGGGTCTGTCCCAAGTTTTACCCTCTACAGGTGGGTGCAGACCTCATCAGTCTGCTGCTTCTGATCCTGCTGCTGCTGCTGCTGCTTCTGCTTCTGCTGCTCCTGCCGCTGCTGCTGCTGCTGCTTCTGCTGCTGCTGCTTCTGCTGCCGTTGCTAGTAGACCTCCGCTCTCCAGCGTTTGGCTGCGATGAGGGACTTAAAGAAAGCAGCTGAGTCTAAGTTGTTGCGTGCAGCAGCAGCCTGTAGTGCTGCCTTAATGGGGGGCAGCATATCTTTTCGGCCGCAGATATAAACGAAGGCCCCTTCGTGCAGCAGCTGCAGCAGCATGTCTCCGTCTCTCTCCATCAGGTGCTGCATGCAAAGGAGACACCCGTGCAGCAGAGATCAAGCAGTAAGCCGTCAAGCCCCACAACAAATAAAACATAAAAGGAGACAGGAGAGACAACCCAGGAGACCCCTGTCCGGAGACAAAGACAGACAGAAGCAAAACAGCAAGAAAAGTAAGCGAGATAGCAAGAGACAGAAGGAGACAACAGAAAGCCTCCTTCTTCTCCCGACAAACCCACGTAAATGGTTTTAGGGTTTTGGGTTTATGCAGGTGAAGAGGAGGAGACAGTTGGAGACAGTTTGGAGACAGTGGACCCCACAGATGCGCGAGCTGGAGACGGTCCCAATTCCTTGCATGCAATAACGCACCTGTACGTACAGCCGGCCACCGTCCGGGGCCTGTGCTTCCCTAGACAGAGCAAACTGCAGCCGCAGCAGCGAAGGCGGCAGCAGCTTCTGCAGCGCGGCCCACTCCCTAGCATACGGCAAGCTAGCAGCAGTAGCTGCCCCCACATAAGCAAGTACTGGGCCTGCAAAGGAGACAAGGAGACACCCGAAAGGAGACGAAGAAGGGGCTCTCTCATAGAGAACAGCTGCTAGGGTTTAGGGTTTTATGGTTTAGGGTTTAGGGGATCGATCCAGGGTTTAGGGTTTTAAGCTTCGAAGAAGAGCTGCAACAACTAAGAGGGAGACTCGGAAACATAAAATAAAGGAGACAGAAGAATTTCAATATAAGGGACACACGAGGGACCCCGGAAGCTGCTATCAGTAGCCTCTACGAAGGCAGACAACCAACCCCCAGCACGCCAACATCTCGTCATCATCACCAGCAGCAGCAGCAGCAACAGCAACAGCAGCAGGAACAGCAACAGTAGCAGCAGCAGCAGCATTGTGAGTTTGTTGCGGACGGACCAGGGCGTCCCTCAGCAACAATCCTGCGCAAGAAGCTGCGGAGAGGAGCCACCCCTGTGCCAGTGCATGCAAAGACAAGAGGGACATCTCGGTCTTGTGGCAGCAGCAGGGAAGCCCCCACGGGTCCTGAAGACAAAAAGGAGACAGACAAAAGAAGAAGTTAGAGACACAGGAAAGGGGACAAGAGACAGCAGGCAAAACGCACCAATCGACTGGCAGCCCAAGGCGACTACCAAAATCCATGCAGATTCTCTTTTAGTATGCAGCAACAGCAGCAGCAGCAACAGCAGCAGCAGCAGCAAAGGGGACTATAGTGGGGACTCCTGCTGCTGCTTACCCCCAACTTCAAACTCCGTGCCGATCGGGGCTGAGCAAAGCAGAGAGGAACAGAGGCCGTCTTTAGAGGGGTCTCCTTGGCCGTTAACATCCCTGTAGCGGTGTCTCTTTACGCACTGAGAGGAGACAGAGGGCAGAGGAGACAGCAGAGGAGACAGATGAACAGGCAGCAAAGGAGACACTCGAGGACGCACCCGAACAAACCCAAAAAGAGACAACAAGCAAACAAGAGACTCAAAAGGAGACAGGGGATACGTAGCAGGGCAAGCAACGAAACAGAAAAGGAGACAATGGATTTGATACGGCGGCCCACAGTAGAGTAAAGATTTACGGCAGCAGAATCAGCAGCAGCAGCAGCAGCCGAAGCAGCAGCACCAGAAGCAGCAACAGAAGCACCAGAGGCAGCAGCAGCAGCAGCAGCAGCAAAAGCAGCATTTGTGCGTTGCATCTCACTAGGGAAAAGGAGTGCGGTAGGCCTTCGTCTGGGGCCAAAGGGGATGAAGCAACGCTGTATAGGCGGGGTTTAGAGACAGAGACAGGTGTCTCCGTTTGTTTGTTTCGGGTGTCTCTGAGGTTTACAAAGGAGACACTTTGTCCCTCAAGGTAGCGGAAGGGCTGTTGTGTCTCTTTAGAGACAGCAGTGGGATCGTAAGAGAACACCAAGTGGTGAACGTCGATCCCCAAACCGTCTCCCGCTGCAGGAGACCCCACAGGCCCGGGATCGGATCCCACCGGAGACACATATGCAGAATAACTTGAAGCCAACTCCCGGTGCTCCAGGCGAACCTTTAGGGGAGAGAATCGCGAAAAGCTGAGATAAGACAAAGCCCAAAACAGATGTGGGGCCTCTCCTGCTGCTGCTGCTGCTGCTGCTGCTGCTGGTGTCTGCTTCCCACCAGACCCTTTGCTGTATAGTCGAACGAAGTGTCTCTAAACAAATCTATCTCCCCCCTGTGTGCCACTGCAAAACATCTCAGTCTCCCCTGGCTGTCCCTCGTCTCTGTCTCTGTCTCTGTCTCCTTTTTCTTTCTCCTTTATCTGTCTGGTGTCTCATTCTCTCTCTCTTATCTCTGTCTTCTGTCTCCTTTGCATGCAGCTGCAACCCTTTGCTGCTGCCTCTATAAGAGCTTTGTCTGCTTACAGGTTTAGGGGGGGCTTTGTGAGAGTTGCAGCGGCCTCTAGGGCTGTTGTTGTTTGTTTCTTATGTTCTGCCTTCAGCCTGATCCACAAGACAAGCAAAAACCCCAAACCCTAAACCCTAAACCCTAAACCCTCGCCAGCAAAACCCCAACGCGAGCCACACAAAGGCAGCACCAAAGCAACCCTAAACCCTAAACCCTAAACCCTTCTGATATAGCTCACCCAGCAGGCATACGAGTCGATGCATCTCCATAGACACCCCGCGGCGCAGCAGCAACAGAAACCCCAATCTTAAAGCAGTTACATCGCTCCGCTGTCAGTGAAAGCACTATTAGAAGACCCAACATCTGCAGGGACAGCAGCAGCAGCAGCAACGTCAGCAACAGCAGCAGCAGCAGCAGCAACAGCAGCAGCAGCAGCTACAGTTGAAGTGAGATTCCACGCCCCAGTCCCATTCCCACGCCTTGAGCCCTAACCCCTAAACCTTGAACTTTAAACCCTAAACCCTAAACCCTAAACCCCAGGGTCTCTCGAAATGCCTCAGATGCACGCACCAAAGCATTGCTACGTAGAGAAGGCGAATGAGGAAAAGGGGGGCCCCTTCTCTTCATTGGTGTCTTTAGGCTGTTGCTGCTGTCTCTGTGCAGCACTTGGGGCCTAAAGAAGAGTTCTGGGGAGGCCTTCCCGACACACCCTTGTTGCCAACCCTACACCCTAAACCCTAAACCTTGAATTTCAAACCTTAAACCCTAAACCCTAAACCCTTGGCCCCTCATCGCTGATCCTTCCGCTGAAGAACTCCTTTATTAGCTGTATTCCCTCCCCCCTCCACGCAAAGCCGCGCCGCGTTCAAGAGGAGCTGTTGTGGTTGGCGGTGTGGCATCGAGGGCCTGGGATCCAATGTCTGGGATCGATCTCGTGGGATCGAACTTCTGGGATCGAGTATGTGGGATCGAAGCGGGCACCGGGCTTGCGCAGGCAAACCGCAGTGTCTGGGGAGTTTTAAAAATAGACACACAGTAAGCACACAGAGATAGAGAAGCAACAGAGATAGCGAAAGAAGACAACAACTGTCTTGTTTATGTGTTGTGCTGCCGACTCACAGTATGGGTCCCCGAGGCCCTTGCCTACTGTACGTACAGCTGGGGAGCGGATACCAATATATACTTCATCCCTAAGCTAAATCCTTAAACCGAAAATGTCCAAGGAACCGGCTGCTAGAAAGCTGGTGGAGGCCTGGGGGGGCCCCTCGTTGGGGGCCCCGAGGGCCCCTGTGGTGGGGGCTTGGGGGGCCCCTCGTTGGGGGCCCCTCAAATAACTCTGGGACTGCATAGGTGTAGCTGAAATTATATAAATAAGTTTCAGGAAAGGAAAAATAAGGAAATATTCCTCTAGTTTATGCAAGAACTGTTTTCGCGCAATGTGCAGCGCCACCGAGCTGTGCGCGGGTCCTTCCATTGTGAAATATCACTTCTGGTGTCAGTTAATTCACTTGTTTATTTTATTCTTTTGAATTCATATGTATTTATTGCATTTAAGGTGGTGTTTGTTCTAAGCTGATCATTTGCATGCGCGTCCGTTTCCTTTCACAGCTCAGGCTGAGAGCTACTAGTCAATACAGGGTTGAAATAGGCCGCATTTGTATTCATTTATATACCTCAGCATTTATTTGCCTTCATTTAAATATGTTGAAGTCATAGAAACACCATATGAGTCCTCTTCAGTGGGGGGATGCGCGAGCTGTCTCTGCTGCTTTAATATGTTTAACTTCTCTTCTTGGGGCCTAGAAACACTGCAACAAACACTACAATCGAAGAGGAGAGCAAGACAGAAAATGTGTACTTGAGTTTAAGGGGGGGAGATGGAGCGGGAACCCTGCATGCAGACTTCCCTTGCATGCATCGTCTTGAGTAGTATTTTTGAGTTCCTATTAAACTCCGTCTTTATTCCGTATTGGGGTTTAACGGCTCCTTTTTAATTCAGCGGCACTCGAACCCGGGACCTGTCGGTATTGATTTCAACCATTCCTTTTCTCCTGCGCTTAGCCCTTCCATCAGTAGCCCTTGGCGCAGGATCTGAGGCGGCCTTCAGCATTTTTTTTTGTCTATGTTGTTCTGTTTGACGCTGCATGACAGGCAGCCGTTGTTTTACTCTGTTTTCACTCATATTGCAAAAGAAAGAAGAATTTATTTTCTGTTGATTTGTTTCGTTTCCGGCGACAAGTAACAAATGCAGCAGGATAGGGAAGACTCCCCTTCAGCCCTTCCTGATGTTCTTGAACGTGTTTGTTTGTAGCTTTCTGCAGGCGCAACTACTAACTCTAAATTGTTAAACTCAAATGAAGCCTAAGTCTGCCCGTGCTGGAACAACTCAGATGAGGTGCCTCCTGCGAGTTGCGGTATTTGCGTCGGGTGTCTCTTTTCCCGCTCGTTGCCTGTTCTTGTCTTCCTTGAAACAACAAAGGCATCGCATCGCTGTATTATTTCTGAGCTTTTTTCTGCGTTTGTGCATGCGCTTGCCGTCCCTTTGCCGCGTCGCTGTGCTGCTGGTAGATTGCCTCACATTGCAGCTTGCGTAGCACTCTTACGATCAGGCATTATATCCTTTGCTTGCCTTCAAGAATATTTTTACAGAGCATCTTATATCAATATACAGAATAACAATCGAAAGGGGCAGGCCTTTCAGCTGTATCGTTGTGTCTGCTATACGCTGCGCTCTTTCCCCACCCTCCTTGGGTTCCCCATTTCCTCGTTAATGAATAGATCTAAGCTCTCTCCTTCTCTGTTGGCTCTTTAGAAATGAAGCGCTGTTTCTTTGAGCCCGTCTTTTTCTTGTAAGGCTATGTGATTGGCTGGGACCTGCTTAACTCGTAGCTTTTGTCGGGGAACAGGAGGCGGTCTGCGGCCTCATCTTCAGATTGCTTTGAGTTCTCCGTCTCCTCCGCCTCCTTCACTAAGTCAAATAACGCGCAGCTTCTTCAGTTTTTTCCTCCAGAGGAGCAAAGTTTTACCCTTTCCGCTTCAGTAGGGCGATGCAACCGTTCATCAGCCTGTGCCTGTGGTGAAGACAAGCGACCGAAGCAGCACAGGATGGTTAAAGATAAGACTTGAGGACCATCTACGCGCATCTCTGTTGCCTTTTGCAGTTTTCCGGGTGTTCTGCATACTGCTGGTGCCATTCAGCAGTTTTGAAACAACCCGCACGATATGTTCTGAACAGCACAGCAAAGCAAACGGCACGCATGCTATTTGGAACGCAAGGAAATACTCTAGCTGTTGCGCGTTACTCAGAAGGCAGCAGATGGCCAGCTTTGCTTGAGCTCTTTTCAGCTTTTTCTGCACGGAATACCTGTTCGAAGGCTTTGCACGGCGGTGTACCGCTATCCAAAGCTACCTTCCCGCATATATATAATATATATTTATATATGAATGACCCCACAATTGGTCTTGTGGGTGTTTGCTACATGTTAGCCCCCTAGAGAGTGATGAGACCCCAAAACAATAGCCTTATTAGAGAGCTGTGCCTGTGTATGCTGAAGTGTGTACAAGCGTCGGGTAGTAGGCTAAGCCATCGAATGAAAGCGAGTCCTTCCTGACGACAGAGAAGCCTTTTGGCTGCTGTGCCAGCGACCTATATTTCTTATCACTATTATTATTAAATATGTATGTTTATTATGATCATGTGTTGTTATGTACTGGGGCGCTCCTGCAGCTGGAGGTAACCACTGAAAAACGAATTACCCAGCTACCAGCTTACAGTGCACTTGGGTGAAAATAATTAACAGGTAAAACAACACCTAAAAAACCAAAACTTGGATTATATATGGGTTAAAGGTGTTGGGAATATAGCATAATGCAACTCTTGGAGTGGCGAGCGCTGTGCCTGCAGTCCTCGAGGTATGTTCAATGACAGTCTTAGGCGTATGCTTCCGCGAAAGGCCATCTGCCTCCAATAAGGGAGCATTAAAAGACAAAATTAACTGCGGAAAATATTCGAATACACAGAAAAACACAAATTAAGTCCTCAACCAAGAACTCTCTTCTATGCCATTGCCACCATCACTTGCATCACCGCCCCCCGCCTACATATTGAAATTCGTTTCATCGGCCTGTCTTCCGCCCTCTCTTCGAGGTAAAAGAATAACTAAATACAAGATATTTTCGATGATATCCTGGAACCTGGGGTGTTCTGAGCCCAGTCATCCTGGATGCAATACCAGCTAAGCCTGTTCTCCGAACACCGCATCTGATCTTATGCGTGTATCACAAGGAAATGTGGCTCTATCCGACGCATACGGAAGATATAGGGAATCCTGCAGCTGACTGCAGCAGAACAGGCTGCCGCTGCTGCTCCTTCAGGAGCAGCAACCGCCGTCCCGCAGAGGAGGTAGATGAACCGAATAAGCGGCAAGGAAAACACGAAATAACAGGAGCAGTGGCGCCTCTCTCATCAACTGGGAATTCAATATTAAGAGATACGCCTGGATCTGGGGATCCCGCGTCTTTTCTTTTCGGGTCCCCTCGAAAGACAGCGGGAGTGGCACCGGTAATGGCCGAACAGACATATGCGCAAGCAACTCACACCGCTATCTCAGCAGTCGTTCCCATTGTTGCAGGAATAGCAGCAACAACTGCTACAGCTGCAGCTGCTACTGCCGCCTGCCCGATTCTAATAGGCGCCGCAGGAACCCATTCCTTATTAGGTGTCGCCGCCTGCTCCTTCTTTGCTGCTCTGGCGGGTTTGGGCGCGTCGGCGTACACGAGTGTTCGCATCGAAAGATTAGAGAGAGTTAAGGACGTTGAAGGTACATAAAACCGCCTTCGTTGTCGGTTCTCTCCTCACCGGCTTGCCAGTCACAGGCATTCTCACATTGGCTCGCAGAGGCATGCAAACCACCAACGCCAGCCATCCCCCCAACCCGCTACCCTGATGCAGCGTACCTGCACTTGTAGGCGTGGTGGGGCAAAGGAATTTTCTGAAAACTCTGCGCTTTGCCGTGTGTTCTGAACGGGTGCAGTGGCCGAGGGTTGACGTTGGACTCAAGAACAATTGACCGACTTTGTTTAACCCCAGACACTTTTTTAACTTGCCAAGGCCGGCAAAGAGAGGTGCAGCGTCTGAGTGCAAATGCTTCAAGTCGCACCTAACACGATCGAGTAAAAGGGTAGAACGTCAGGAAGGAGCATGCACCTTTCAGTATACTCCTCAGCATCGTATTCCGTAGTACACAGTGGCGGAATGGCGCGTCAAGACGCCCTCTGTGATTCAGTTCACCGAATTTGCGGCGAAGGCGCAGCTAATGGCCCATGCTGACCGCATAATCGATAGCAGATGCTGTCGCAGTCAAACCCATTCAAACGTGAGTAGCTTTCATGCGTGTTCATGCTTGTCTTGGAGGGTTGTAAGCCTGACAGAATGCAAGGACCGCTCTTAGTTGGCACCTCAACAGCTTCTTGTCTATTTTCCCTATTTGCGAGCACCTCCATGTCATCATGATCCTCCATATTCTTTTTTTTGTATTGATTTAGGTGTCGTGACGATGTAGAGCGAAGGTTCTGCTGCTGAGGCTCCCTAGGGGAGGTGATGATGCCTTCCTGCAGCAGTGGGAAACGGGGATGGGAAAATGCGAATATCTCAGCTGCGTGATAATATTTAGCTTGTAGCTATGGACAGTATACCGTTGGGAGTCAAGGCTCATTATTATTATTTCCTATTTTCGGTATTATTAGTAGAGCTAAGGGCCAGTTTTAATGACTCCACCGACTATATTTTAGCTCCCCTCCCTTCGACAAAATTGTTCCTCGATGCAAACTCGAGTTTCAACTAACATCTAGACGGAACACTCGTGACTTTGCTGTTGTAAATGAGCAACGTTTGGGAATGTCCAGTGTCCAGTAGGTACTTGCTGCTGATTTTTGGCGGAACTTGGATAGCATGTCGCTTCTGGGGGTTTGCTCGCCCACGGTGAACAGTGTGCATCTGCGCATCTGATCGCAAACACAGTTTGTGTGCCTTTTGCCTCCTTAGACCCTTCTTCCTGCTTCATTTATGTGCAATTTCACTGTTGGGACAGAAGTGACGGGAAGCACTTCGCTTGCATGTTACCCACAAGGAGCATCCGTCCTTCGGAGACGTCAGAGTGGACGGTGCAAGCAGCCTTACGGTGTTTCGTGCAATGCGTTGAACAGGTTTCAGCTTCAAGGGGGCTGAAAAGTCTGCCAAGGCTCTCTAAGACATGTTCACTTGCAGTTTCTGCTCTGCCTACATAGACACCCTAAGGTGGGATAAGCGTCCTGTTTGGGCCAGTTGCCAGAGCTGTACCTTCCGCTGCCAGCAGGTACACCGTCAAAAGTTGAATTCTGGAACTTGCCCATATTGACTGACAAGCACCATCCTTTTTGTTTCGTGGCTGTTGTTGACATTGCCCCATCTGGAAGCGTTTGCGAACTTGATAGCCGAGCCACTCGTTATTAGGTACCGGAAGGCAAGAGCCCCCTGCAGCAGGTCTTGCCATTTAACTTCTCTATTGGTGGAAGCAAAAACTCAATTTTGCTGCAAATAGAAATATATACAAAAAACTGCAAAGCTAGGATTAGCTGTACGGGCGTGCGCAGCAAGGGAGTCACTTTCGTTCCCCGCCCTCAGCAGTCCGCGCCAGTGGACAGCAGCCGCAGCCAACTGCGTCTGCGTTGTGTCTGTATGCAAGATCATATTTGTTCAATCGCAAATTTAAAAGGAAAATTCCTTCGGTCATTTGTTTGGCCGTATTTAGGAAGAAAGGTAACCAGGGTAATCCGATAGCACCCGACTTGAAAATGGCGTTCTCTCGGCTGACCGTCTTGGCGTTGTTTTCTTCGTTGCTGATTGTATTCCTTGGATCGCAAAATGGTTTGAGTGTTTCAGGTTCTTTGTTGTCAGGTTAGCCAGAGAGCCTTATATTCCCGATGACCTAGTTGAATGCATATATTTTAGAGTTCCCACACTCCGTCCTCCCGTGAACCTCCATGCCAAAGTCACCTCTGAATCAGTCGGTTATCCTAATGAGCATTTGCGTTGCGCTGAACAGCTGGCCCTGATGAGGGAATTTCGCCTGAAGTTTTGTCACCACCTGAAGCTGCGGAGCGTCCACGCCGCAGGGCCAACTGGCTTCAACGGGGGTTAAGAAATATTTCACGACCTGTAGGTCTCGGTCTCGTTCTTTATCAAAAGCACTCGCCAGCTTTATCAAAAGCACTCGCCAGACAAAGCTGTCAGCACGTATTGGACCTCGTTCCTCTGTGCACCTCACTCAAGTCATACGACACGCAACAGGCAGCCTCCAGGAAATGTGTCATCACCTGCCCATGCATCTTCTGGGGTGTCTCAGATTCGGCGTATTGCTGAAAGATTTCGACGCATCCTTTCCAGTCGTTCCCGAGAGCAAAGCAAGCAGGACTTAAGGAGCATGGAAGATGCCGCCAACCGTAGGACTAACTGGCTGTGCAGATTACCCTTCCAGCACAGCTATTAGCCAGATAAATGCCGTTTGCGGTGGCCTCGCCTAGTTAATTTTTGTGCGAGGTGCGTTGTACCTCTTGGGCCATTCTGGGTTGCAGGATATTTTGACTGTTTTAATCTGAGTTCTCCCGAGACAAAGGCAGCGAGGGCCGTTACTGCAATATGCGGCGGGATGAAAACAGAGGCTATTCGGCGTAACTGTTCTTTGTTCGCCTTCGCCATTGCTGCCGTACTGGCAAAAATTGGAGAGTGCTTATCACAGGCGGACCCAGCCAATTCTGGCCAAAGAACAGGTAATTATGTCTTCAGCTGCTGTAGCGGAGGCAGTCAAGTAGGCCAGCATAGCTTTACCGTAAACAGCAGGGTAAGCGAAGCTAAACCAAGCGAACTTCTTTCCTACGTGCTTGTGATTCCTTCTACAGAGTGCTTCCGGAGGTTTAGGCTTTTCTTGGTCCACCCGCTGCTACGCGAATCGATTTCTGCAGCGTCACGTAAGCTATCGACTGATCCCAGCTTCGAAACTGATTCCAGCGCAGTTCCGACAGGGGGGTAAAAACAATGAACTGATATTTCTTGTCTCTGATATGCATTCCATGTTCAGCTGAAGATATCAACGATGCGGAAGGTTGGCTGAACAGCCTTGAAGTAAGCACATCCCTGCGAAGTTTCCTTTGGGTCCCCTGCATCTAGATTATAGCTCTCGCTCGAAGAAGTTCTGCAGCCCAGTTTTCATCTTGTTGCACTGTGTTGCTGCTTTTACAGTTCATTACTGGTCCTCCCGAGGAATTAACTTTTCCGGGTGGAAGCCCGTTAGGTAAGGCGTTCGCTAGGATGAACTGGAGTCTGATTGGTACTGTGGATAATCAGCACATTCTCGCGGGCGCAAGCTTAAAGGAGAGCATACGAGTGAGGCGAGGTGTAGGCGGGCGCTGGAAAAATTTGTTACAAAAACTCAGGGGGCGCCCATATCCGGTGACAGAGACGATGAAACCAAATGCTGAGGCCGTAGGGATGGCACAAGCACGTGAACTGTAGGAGAGGATGCGAGCCAAATAGAAAAAGAACAAGTTGGGACTAGGGCAGCAGCTTTCAGGTTCAAAGTGTACATCAGCTGTTGTACTTAAGCTATTGTCCGAAGGCTTCACTTTGTTTGGTTTGTTGTCGCAGACCCTCACTCAAGGCTTTGAACTCTTTGTCAGCATGCCCCCCCACCCCGATCCCCTTGCAGTCCGGTTGTTAACGAACATGTTGGTTGATGGGTTGTCGTGCCCGGCTGACGGCACTTTCGGGAGACCTGAAAGGGTTGTAGTGGGCGGTAAGACGAGGACAGTCAAACCGGCGCAAATGATAGAAGCTGCCATCTATATTGCTGTTGAGAACCTCTTTGACGCCAGTGACTGCGCCGCCCCTGGGAGCACTGATTCGCTAGGCCGCATGACCTGCAGGCTTCTTGGCGCATACGATGAATTCATGCAATCGGGGGGGCCAACAGAAACAAAGCCTAAGACGGAAGAGAGACTGCAGGGCATAAGAAGTGCTGAATATGGGCCAGCCCCTGCCGCAGAAGAAGCTGAACCTAGAAATGAAGAAGCGCCTGCTCCTGGAGTGGAGGCCGCTAAATCCACCAATGCTCAATCCAGTGAGGTTCCCAGCAATGAGCCATCCGAACCTACCGATACAGCAGACCTTTCCGGGGGTTCGGAGGAGGGCCCGCCAGACCTATCTCTTGAACTTCCACAAGAACAGAATTTGGAGAGACCATTTGGGCGGCTGGACCGCATACGCGTTTATGCTCAGCAAGCGGCTGCTTCTGCTGTTGCCACCGCCCGATTAAGTACGTATGCTGCATTGAAGCAATCCAGTGGGGAATGGCTGAGTTCCGGCGTTTCGTTCTGGTAGTGCTTGTATTGTGAGGCATATAGTCGGTGCATAATACGCAGAAACAGTGAATTAACCGTTTTCGATAGGCCATGTACGCTTTCTGTATTTGTGGCACTGTTCAGGCTTAAAGTTGGGAGCAGCAACCCTTCGCATTGTCAGACTTTGTCTGCGGAGTGCGTTCTTAATTCGTTATGCAAGTCGAATGGTGTTATTTTTTATGGGAAAAGAGTTGGTTACGAAACAAGGGTTATTCCTTTTCCTTGGAAGAAAACGGGAAGGGGAGAGGTACTTGGGGATGCATGTGAAAGCACTCGTGGAGCTCAGCTCAGGAAATGCGAACCTTGCCAACCTCTCAGCAGCAGCCGCCGGAATAGCTGCAGATGAGGAAACTCGCATCATCTCCAAGGAACAAGAAACTTCGGTCTCATTTATTCAAGGCTGGCTGGGACCTACGGCCGTATATCGCGCACTGCAAGCTGCGGGGATGGAAGCTGATCAACAGTCTGCTGTTGCAATCGCTCTCAGCATCAACGTGGCAGCGGATGTCTTACTAGCTTGTCTGTTGGTGGCCATAAGCACTGCTTTCTCACCACTATTGGTTGTTCTGGCTGTCGTGCTAGCCGTCCTCCTTATAATCAGATCTGCTGTTATCTCTTACACTGTAGCCGTACCCGAAACAATGATGGAGAAGCTCGAGAGGAGGGGGAGAGGCGCCTTTGAGAAAGTAGCCAGGGTTGTGGGGTAAATATGGCCTTACACTGCAAAATGGCAGCTTACAACTGGGGAATCGAACGGCTTCACGCAACTGCATGCATGCCTTTCGCATGGGCCCTAAGTCAATTTCACTATGCTCGTGGAAGCATTGTTTTGGATCTCAAGGTAAAATGGTGGGAAGTATTCAGAAGCCAAGCGTCTCCAGGGGAACCTCATTCTATTTCTTGAACTGCGGTCGGTTTTGGCCTTCGTCGTGTTGGTGGCAAATCGCAGAGTATTTTGTATTTAGTGCAGACATGCACCTGCGTTCGAAAGCTACGCATATTTTGTGTGCAAATTATTTTTTTAGAGGGAGCTGCGCAATGGTACAGCCCCCATTTGTCTGCTGTTAGGCAAGTCAAAGACTGTCCTGTACAGCACGAAAGAGCTTGGCGTGTTGGAAATGTGTCAATGCTACTGAAACATTCCGACGGAAGCGTGCAAGGAAGTGCGTGTATTTTGAACGCCAACGGACTGTGAAAAAACATTTTAATTTCGTTTAGCACGTAGTTTTTGTTGCTGCCAGTGCCCAAGCTGCTCTTGGGCAGCCGTGTGTTCACGCGATTGTGGTGAATCTAAAGTTGAAGTGTGGACGCGGACTGGACCACATTGCGATGATTGTGCACTGGAAAAATTTCCCTTTTGCTTTTCCGTATGCATGGTATCAGCGTAAGCGCAAGGAGGTTTGTCGTAAGTACAGCTCCTGCGATCCCCGTTTGCAGAACACGTGCATGATAAAATAGTACTGAATGGAAGGAATTCTCGAGAGGTAGAAATACCCCCTTCAGTCCAGCGCTGCCGCGGGTGACTGCAGGACGGTGGGCGTGCGGTCCTCCACACGCTACACAAATTGTAATAAGCCATTTGCTTCCCTTGCATTGGAGTTTGTCCGGGAACACAGATTTTTCCAATGCACGAAGTGCAAGCAAGTTGGCGTCCGTCCACAAGTGCTTCTCTGTAGTTACATGACTACACGTAGCACTTAAGTCATCGCGTTGGATCTGCCTAACTGAGTGCGAGACCGGACAGGCCTGCAATCGCTACAACTCCCTCCCATGCAATTCCTGCCTTTCGGAGGCATGGTTACTTGCCCCTGCAGCATTTCTCTCTACTACCAAAGTGGTGGAATTGCCCACGGATCAGAAATGTAGAAATTTGCTTCCAAGGACGACGCAAGTCTCCACGATGGAGGTGCCAGGCAACCTCTTGCAAACGAACCAGAGTATGCCATGGCATCTAACAGAACTGTTAAAAGCGTGCACTTGCACCCATCATATGCCGGAGAAACGAAGCCTGTCGATCTATATCTACGTGCATATGCACTCTTATATATGTACCTATGTGGTGCTAGATGTATATATATATATATATATATATACGGAGACGCTACTAACTCAGTAGAAGTAAAACAATACCGGAGATTGCAGATAGTTTGCTTCTAAAAAGGACCTGAATGCTCAGGGCCTCCCACGTGCCACTTGGAAAATCTGCACAAAAGTCCAAGCTTGCCATTTACGGAAGCAGCGGGCTGGCCGTGCACCGCAGAACACTTACCCAGGGGGTCGCTTTTGTCTGTGGTCAACGCAAATTCCTGGTTAAGCCTCTCTTGGGCTACAGGCACGACAAGCTTAACCCGAGCATTGATGTACTCATTACGACACACACTATCGTGCTGGCTCTATACATGCCGTTCACCACCCAAAGAGGACGAGGACGTACACTCGGCACGGCCCATAGTTGCCAGGGAACTAAAGCACTTCGCTGGGTAGCTGTAGCTCTTTACGCTACACAGCCTTGCTCTGCCGAACTATTGGGTAGAAGTGCGAGACCAAGTACACTGGCAGATATGCCACTCGCGGGGGCCTGATCTGCATTCCGCAGGTGGCACGCCTTTATCCTAAAGCCTAAAGCCCTCCTTGATTCAACAGAAGACGGCATTTGAGCAACAAAGCTTATCGCCGATTCAGCACACGGACGAATCTGCAGCTGCCGAGCAAAATGACGAAAGGCGGCCCACCGCATGTCAGGGTGAAAATGCACAGTGTGAATGTAAGGAGCTCACAGTGGTTAGGCATTGGCAATAGTCATTGAACCACCCCCCGCCTCCGAACGAGATAACCGCTCCCCTCCCACTAAAGATACAGTCTGCCCCCTAGGCTGATCTTCACCTCACCAACCGGGAGAAAGATAGCGTACATGCCTTCCGGTCAGATAACGTCCGCTACCCACGGATCCTGTTTCTTCTTCACGAGGACCGACCGGAAATCTGCTCTTTTACTAGCGAGCCCCTCACTCTGCTGTTGCATAAGTCTGGAGAACTCATCAGCGGGCATCTTGCCAACGTTGGAGCAAAGAGCATCGATGTCTTTCATGCGCTGCCCCGCCACGCCTTCAACAAGACGGCACCGGTTCTTACTGCGGGCTTCCTTTTGCAACACGTCGGACAGCCCGAATACTTTCTTGCCCATCTTGGGGATGTTAAATAATGATGCTTCAAGTTGGGCGATTTCTTCAATGCCATCCATGGCCGACGAAGTGACAATCGAGGCAACATTCGCGAGAACTTTATTCGTTTCTTCTGTCCAGCGAAATGATAGCTGCACCAGCGTTGACATTAAATCCTTTTCACATCTTAACAAGGACAAGTAGGTCTCCATTGCATCCTCGAGTTGAGCCTTTCCACTTTCATCTCCAGCCGCCAGTTTGGCCCGAGCCTGCTCCATCTCCTTAAGAGCGTCGTTTTGGCGTTCTTTGAGCCTCTCCACATCATTGCCCAGTTCAATAAGGGCCAACTCGGATCGAAGATTCCTGGAATGCGCATCGAATTTCATATTCGACAAGCGACTAGCCCCTGTCACAACAGTCACCAAGCCGCTGCCTACCTTTCCTATTAAACGACTGAAGAGACGAGTCGCTGCGGCTTCTGGCGACTTTTTGGGCTCCTCCACAGGAGCTGTGCCAAAGTACCTGTCGGAAACTTCTCGTGCTACCTTTATCGCGTCCCCCGATTTAATGCACAGCCGCCCTGGCTGAACACCCTCCGCCACACTTCCGGAAGATGAATATCCCAACAACCAATCTAGATCTACCGGGCCCTGTGAAGGTTCCTGTTCCTGCGGAGCACTTTCCTCCGGGCTCTTCCCCTGCAGATAGGCGGCCCATGCCTTTGGAATGCCGGTGCTATCGAGTGAGAAGTCCTCCGAATGTACATGAGAGAACGGGACTGTTTGTGGTCTCAAATTGGCGGCCCCCTCGAAGAAAAGAGGATCACCTGCCATAAATGGCGCGAATGAGACGACCGCTTTCACCTCTGCATCTCCATTCCATAAGTCATCTTCCATGTCCTCATCAAAACTTTGGTCTCCATCCAGCCCAAACCCTCCCTTCTCACGTTTTTTTACCGATTTTGATGACGTGCCTGAAGTGCAGAGCTTAGCGGCTAGCAGAGCAAACACTGCAGCTGCCGCCACCCAGAGCGACCACGTCCGATTGCGCTTAGCAGGGGGACTACCAGGATGAACCCCTTGGCCTCGATGGTGGTCTCTTCCTTGAGCAATATCCTTATCTTCCCATCCCCCGTAGTGTTTCCGCCTCTCTAAATATGGCTCCCGCCTTGCTTCTTCAGTCTCGAGCCCGGTCGGTGCTTTCTTCCCTGCCATCCTGGCGATTAAGGGAGGGATTTCCCCCACTTTCGCCAAATCCCTTCACGATGGAAGAAAAAGCGGTCAACGCAACGCCGGGTTAGCCTTTTTTTGTATTGGAGATACAGACTCATGCGCCGAACCTCTCACCTTCGCTTGGAGCTGCAGCCACTAAGCCACGCCAACGCTATAGTGCGCAGGCACTACATTGGTCCTCAACTTGTACCCCGGACTCTAGAGGTCTATCCGGCAGAGGCAGCACAAAAAATACATTATTAGGAGTAAATCAAGCCACATTAGATAATAGATAAGGCTATTAGGCCATGACTGCAATGCAGCTACTATCTGGGGCTGGCTGTAAGACTGGCACTTCAGCCGAGGCATTTACACGCCTGGGGTCAGCATGAGGATTGTCGTTTTTACTCTATTATTATTATTATTACTCTTCCTCCTCTAGGAGGATTGGACCCGGGATACGAATGAGAGACTGTTCTTTGATATCTTAAGGTTATATTTGTTAAGGGCTGTGCGCTGAGTGTAGCGTGTATTCATCGAGTGTGCTCCGAAATACGTATGCGTGGGACCGCAGTAGTGGCCTCTCGTTACTCGATACATTTGATAACTCCTACTCAATCGTGCCTGCTTGCTTTACCTCCAGCAATAACTGGACCGAACCCCCCAAAAGAGCGGTCTTCATAAGACCACCACGACGGGCTGCATACATTTCGCCGTCGTCTCCTGCGCCTCTGCAATGCAGAGGAGCCTTCTCGTTCCTTTCTGAAGAGACCCCTGGTCTGCCTCCTCTTATACTAGAGGATGCAAATCCCGTTGGGGGCGCTAAGAGGCTCACTCTCTCAGTGCTTTCAGGACACAAACACCGCAACAGTTTCTTTTGGAGGCCTCACGTGCACCCAACACCGAATCGCTCACCCCATGCTTGCAACTTCATCATGGTGAACTGGTACAACCTAGAAGTTCCACGTACTGTCCATCATGGCTATCAGTGTCTCTTCGTGGCGCACAGTTCACTCGATCCACTGGCAAAAGCTCAGCACTAAGGTACAGCGTTCAATTCGAGATCCGGAGGCATTTCCTCACTTTAAGGCAGAGGGCTCTGGTTTCGTCGTTTGATAAACTTTTATCTGGAAGGACAGAGTAGCGTGCAAAAGGAAATCAGGCCACAAGGTTCAGGCAAAGGCGCTTGGGGCAAGATGGCTCGTATATAAGTGTACCGCTCTGTCCGCGCAGCTGACGTTCCAGATCTTCGGCCGTTGCGTGATGCAGCGCAGAGGAAACAGGAAATTAGGATACAATGACTAGACGGTCCAGCATAGAAGTCCCGTATCATTGTAATATGACCGAATTCTGAGTTGTGCACGCATTATCTATAGCACTGCGGATTCTCGTTTCCAATCTGCCACCTGCGAAACGTAACCACAGAGATTGGGCAAACAAGTGGACTCGTAAGTTGCGCCACCTCACCGTAGCTTCACATTTAGTGGCAGCCGAGAGCGCTGTGCACTATACGCGGGGCTTCGTGCGCGTGACTCCTAGTTTCGCGTAAAGGCGATTTGTATAATATATATAGTGTATATTCGAACTAGTAATTAGCTTCGACTCCTTGAGAGAACCTTTAGGGTATTTTGTAAGCCCAGGGGACGCAATGCAATCACCATTTTGGTAAGAGCAGGGTCTTAGGCCTGTCTGTTACGGGGTCTTTCCCCTTAGCACTGCGCTCCTCATATTGAGTGTCAGGTTAGTCTACCACTTCTATATGTTGCGAAGTGGTGCTTTTAGCTGTGCACGCTGTTCTGGGACATCTTGGAGGGGCTTGCCTCCACAACTGCTGGAACGAGTGTAGCATAGTGCAGCATGCTGCGTCTGAAGCTAGTGGTGCATTTCTACGTGCGCATAAAATGCTGGCTACCAAGAGCCAAAAAAGTGGACAATAATCCTCTGCGACGTTGGCGCATGCAGCAAAGAGGGCATGGATGCTCTTGCTTGTGGGGTTGCCTTGTACCACTGGTTGGAGCCGAGCACGACTGGCCGTCTTCTGTTAGCACCAGCTCCAGGCCCTTTGCACCGCTGCGCGCAAGCTGCTTGGGGAGTGGAGAGGAGGTCAGCGGGTTTTTAGGCAACTCTGACCTTAATTTGCTGACTGCATTGCATGTCGCGAAGTGCTCAGCTAAAATCAGGTGCCTTAGGTACACTCGGTACCACCGCACGGTTCGTCGAGGTAAGAGTAAGCAGCGAACCCCACGACAGCAGCTAAACGGCCCGGTGTAAAGCATTGATAACTCGTGAAGGCGATTTCCTAAAATCTCTGTCAAAAGTTCAGCCATTTCTCCTCTGGAAAAGTGGAAGTTGATCATGATCTGCCCTTCTGTTGGAAAGCGCCCAACGGCTGGGTGCTTCTCTCAGTTGGATGAGCACATACCTAGTAGACAGTGTCTTATACAACGAACTCAGCCTATGAAGAAGGATCCCGCTTTTTCCCGGTCACCCGAATGACATGCAACCCGATGCATGAGCACTGCAAGCGTTCCTTGCCTTTCTGTGTGTGTACTTTCGTTCCCAAAATGCCCTACAAGTGCTACAGCCGCCACTGGCGCCCCCCTTATTCAAAGGGGAAACACGACAGCTGCGGCTACCAGTGAGCAAGGGTAACTTTTTTGGGGAGCACAAGAAAGCTACGGAAGCTTTTCGAGATGCGCTGCAACGTAACTTTACTCCTATATTGGCAGGAGAGCAGGCAACGACGACACACTGCATGTCTACAGGGTGGGTATCGGCCAAGCGCTACAATGAAAAGTATCAGTCTTTGGTGAACAGCAGTCAAATGGTGGGCTAGCAGCATCTAAATCAATGAAACATAGCAGGGCTGCCCACCAGAGGGAGGCAATCGGCACTCGGCTCGGGTGCAGAGGGGGAACTAAGGGGTAAGAAGGTGGAACCCGCCACAGTGATGGAGTATTTACGCAGCGAAAAAAATAAAACGCCATTTCCACCGCCCTTGCTGAAAAAGGAGAACACTGCCTTGAATTTCACACAGATTCTGAGCTTTTCGATATTGGGGCTGTAAATGCCATCCTTTCCCGCAGAAGCAGAAATGAAGCGAGCAGAGAACTGCCAGTGGATCTGTCACTCAGATGGCCGGGGAAGTGTACGAGAAGCCCATCTGCTTCCACTACAATAAACAATAGCCACATCATATGATACTGAAGGCACAGTAAAGGGCCACGGAGTTGGGAAAGCACTGCATTGAGCATCGTGCGCACGAGGGACAAACAAAGCTACTACGGTATTGCCCTGGTCCCCAAGCAACATGCGGCGCAGCGATGGAGCCGCGACAGATGACGACCGCACTTGCAAACCCTCCTCAACTACGCTCCGGGAACACTTGACCCACGCTGCGAAATTGATCGTGTATGTGAAGGTGCGGCGAGCAGCTGCAACCTCCCTGCCTATTTATTGTCTCGATCTCTACCAATACATTCAGCCGGTGCAAAACGAAGTGGCACAATAAGATAGGTAATAAGAATTGGTAAATTGATGAGCGTTTTATGCGAGCTCAATTTAGAAATCGGTCACATTGCCATACTACAGGACTTCGGCGTTGAACTGTTCACCACCACCTTCGCTTGCATATGTCGTTTGTACACTCTAACGAAGACGCTGCAGCAACAGGAAGTTTTGCAGGCCCACGCCTGCAAAACTCCCTGCAGCAGCAGGAAGTCTTGCCGCAGACAGTAGCATTGTAAACAGTCAGGAAACACCTTCGTGTCCCTCAGTAGCCAGACTGCACGTGAGTATGGAAGAAGGTCGCAGAGAGCATCGCTGGAGACAGCCGTTAAACACCTTCTTGCCTTTGAGTAGCCAGTTTGCACGCAAATCTAAATACACAGACCACCTTCACACACTGCGTGCCACACCCCACAAGACAGCCTACACACGCCCCCTAATTGATACATTCGCCAACATTCTTTATAATTGTTGAACACTAGATTGGCCTCTGCTTCGGAATATAGCCACAAGAATACACACAGTCCCAACATGGATACTTACCAACTTCAGCAGGACCCTACTACAACTGAGGGACAAGGCCCTTCAGCGCGGATGCTTAGGAGGTGCCAGCGCTCCACAGCCTATGGACACCTCTTAAAAGAACAACAAAGAGCTCGACTCCAAAAAAAAACTCGGAATAGAGCAAATTTTACCAAGACTACTCCCTCTAGTTAACAAGCAGTGCCAGCATGCCGCAGCAGTACCACCTTTGAGCTCATATGCGGATCACTCCTGAATTCCAAATACGACAAAATGACATTACAAGTTTCAATATCTATCTATTAGTCTAGATTTATCAAGATGAATAAGGCTTAGCCTTGTAGCAGTCAGTGTTGTCACGTTACCGGCGCGGGCACTTCCAGCCCCAAACACTGCCACCTGTGCCTCAATGCTGGGCATAACGCAGCTCGTGAACACTTAGGTAATCAGACTTCTCTGTAGTTAAACCTATTGTGCTACTCTTACTTTGGACTTCTTTTTGGAGTTCCTGTCCCACTGTAGTACGCGGCACTACAATTGGAGCGAGGCCTCCGCCGAGACAAAGCTGCACGAGGAGATACGGCATACAATTTAAAGCAACTGCATAAGGACTCACTTGCTCATTAACAGGAGAATGCCGCCCCAGGCGGCGAGTGAAGATGCTCCTGAAAAGGAGAGCCGCAGTCGGTATGCCTTCAATTCACGAAGTTAATCTGCGCTTTGACCGCGGGGCGTGGCAACACGCCCTACGATTGTTTATTCTAACGTTGCTTTCTGCCGACGGTCTGGGTGCGATTCGTTGGGCCTGTGCAGGTCCCGCAGCACGGAAGCAAGAGTAGGCGGTGGAACGGGAGAAAGTGGCGATGGCTCGGACTCCTCAGCCGTTGTCGCGGCAGCAGCTGCTGCTGCTGCTCGTGCCGCTGCAGCACGGAAAGCAGCAGCAGATGATATGAACTCAACTCTTACGCGGCTTATGCCGGCAGCAAGCAAAGTGAAAACTACTTACGCTCCCGTGATAGCTCCGCAGGATGCTGCTGCTGCGGCGGCGGCTGCTGCCGATGCTCGCAGCAAGCTAGCACAGAGTCTAAATGCAATGTTCCAGCCACCTCCTCCTTCTTCTCCACCGCCTGCTGCGCAAGCAGGAGCGAATAGCAGCGCCCCCACGCCACCGCCTGGTGCACCGCCGAGTACCCAAGCGCCGGCACCGTCGGCTCGTGCGACCGTACACACTGAGTCAGATCGAATTGCGCGCCGGCTGTTTATTCACAACATCCCACCTGGTCTGTCTTATCTTACCCCTGCGCTAGCATTTCTTGATGATGCAATTGCCTGTTTGTTTATGCGCCCCTACGCTCATTCGACACTTGGTGGTCGATGTACATGACATAGGTGTATATGCGCCGGTTGAGCTTTCAGGAACAACGGAGGCCGATATATGCGGCTTTTTTAACGGCGCGTTACTGGCGGTCAACGCACAGACAGGCTTTACGGACCTCTCTCTTGCGAGTGACAAGCCACAGCTTCTACCAGTGGAAAGATGCGAAGGCCTTCAAGAGAATGGCCGCTTCTGTTTTCTAGACTTGAGGTCTCACGAGTGGGTGGTTCTTTGCCTCAAACTAGACGGTACGCCTGCTTCGGTTTGAAACCGCACATCTCACCTGTGGGGTTGTTTGAGGGGAATACGCTGACGCAGGAATGCATATCGCCCAGAGTAGGTACCCGTGGGTCGCATCTGTGTGGCACATTGCGCGCCTTAGGTATTACTTTCAATAATAATTCTCTTAAGGTGATGCGGCCGAAGGAATATGTACAACCCCCCGGCGGCGACCCTGCGAAGACAGTTCACATCCCAGAACTCGAAAGGACCCCAAAGTAAGGCTTGGCTTGCTCGTCAGCGAGCTGCAGGACAATAGGATATATTCGACGTAGTGTTCTTCGAACCCTTCCGCTTTGTCCTATTGTCATTCCTAGGTTGCATATTTCTCTCTAGTACTAGTACATTTTGTGCGAAACTGCCTCACGATCTGCAGACCACCAGAGAACGAAGTACGCGCTACAGCACCTCCAAGAAGTGCAGACTGCAAGCTGTACATCCAGAACTTGCCACAGGAGATGGGCGAAGATCAGGTATGGCGTGGCACCTTCACTTTCTCCACGTTTATGCGTTTCTGCTTATCCCCATCATCCTTCGTAAAAGTCGTATGGAGAAGGGCTCCGCCGCACAGCATTCTTGCCTCTGGACTATTTCCGCCTACCTCGTTGTTGAAATGCACAGGTGCGCGATTTGCTGGAACAGTTCGGCAAACTTCGAGTCCTTAACCTAATTAAGAACAGGCAAACTGGGAAGCACCGTGGCTACGGCTTTTTCGAGTATGAAGACCCGGACGTAACGGATCAGGCCATAGAAGTAGGCGAAGGGGGAAAAGTGGGGTTCCAGAGCTGCTGTTGCAGCGAATTCCCGCTGCTATCTGCATTTTAGGCTGGCATGTTCTCTGTGCCTTGGCTGTGCGCTCAGTCTTTGAACGGGTTCGTGTGTGGCGCCACCGTTCTTAGTGTGCAGCGGTCTAACTTCATGCCTGACTTATTACCGACCAAACAACACACGACAGAGGTCACTGCTCTACCGTCTTCCACTTCGTACGCAGTGCTGTCGGACCCAGTTGTCGCCATCCAGGTCCGTTACGCTGCACATAGTTGCGGATGCCTGACGTGCTTCGAGTTCGCTTTCTTGAAGTGCGGCGCAAGCAAGAGTGGATTCTGGTGCCGGGAAACTCAGGGCGAGACAGCGCATGATCACATGCAGGAGATAAGGACGAAGATAAGATAGTGCTGTAGAGCAACTTTATGTTGGGCCATGCAGGTTCGGGCTGGGCGAACTATAGGCGAGAAGCCTTCGCGCATTGTTCAACTCCTGAATACGGTTTACCCCGAAGATGTGGTACGTAGCCGCTGCTAGCCAGCTTTTCAGGTAGCTACGGCAGATCAAACGCGCTGCATGTGGGGGATATTTGGCTTTTGGATGGAGCGCCGCTGTTTAAGCTGTTTCCGTTTGACGTGCGTTGTGAATGTGCGTGGAAACATAAATAGATGACAGACGCGAGCCACGAAGCAGCAGTTAAGGACATTCGGTCGGAGGCAGAGAAGTATGGACCTCTAGAGGATGTTGTCATTCCACGGCCGAATGAAGATTTGTCATACAAGCCAGGCGTGGGAAAGGTGAGGTCTAGACTATCTCCTTGTTTGCTTATCCATGCAGCATCCTATCGGGAGGTGTGGGCACCTTTTTACGCTGCTCTGTGTTCGAGCCGTGCGGCCATACGATACATTTTCAGGTGTTCTTGGTTTATGGGGACGTCACATCTGCTCGGAGGGCGCAGCTCATGCTGAACGGCCGCCGTTTCGACCAGACGCGTGTAGTGTGCGCGGCGTTCTTCCCGGAAGAAAGGTTTAAGGAAGGCCACTATACGCTGACCTGACTATAGAGAACAGTTGTCGCGTACCGCATCATCAGTAAGCATCCCCAAGGCCTGTGGAAAACGCGGCTCATTGCACTGTTGTAGTGGGTCTCTTGCCGTTTGTTGAGGATAGCGTAGATCTGACTGCGTATTTGCCTCCCAGTAGTGCAACTATTGCGTCTGAAGTAGGTATTCAGTTGCTTCATTCGTAATTTGGGGTGCAGGTTTGCGTGTGGGAAGCGCTTGGCCCCTCGCATTTCGTGAAGCAGAGAGCGCAGCATAAGGGACCCCTGCTCACAGGAAGGATGGAATAACATTCAGTCTTGTTGGCACCATTTATTTTGTTTTTGCCATTTGATTCCTCCTCAGTGTGCTGAAATCACTGAGCGTCAGAGGTTGTCTTTTTCCTTTAGCTGACATATAGTCAGAATGTTCCACCGCTTAGGAGCTCTTGACAGGCAGCCGCATTGGCGATTTGCGTTGACAATTGAAGCCCTTGTGTTCAAGCCAAAGTTTCTGTTAATGGATGCGTAGCTGGATGCGTAGCTCCGAGGGTAGAAACTACCTCGAAACTTTACAAGCTGTTGGAGAAGATGGCGCGACGGGCCAGCTGCGCATTTTCCCCCATAGCATTCGTCAGATGCGTTTTTTAAATATTGCTTGGATTTCCTCATGCTTACTGCAGTTAGCGTTGGCAGGTTGGTCCATTTGCTCATAGGATTTCAACTAGTAACCAATCCTTTGCAACTTAATAGCATCTTCAGACGGACCCAGAATTGGTAGAAAATTGCGCAAAGGATTAGCACCATGTCGCTCACTTCTGGCAAGCTGCAAAAGGTAGAAACCTTAATGGCTCGGCGTTGGCAGTAGTTTAGCCAGGGAAAATCTGAACGCACCGCCTAGCGCTGCTGCAAATCCTTGTCTGCAGCCTGCGATTGTTGCGGCAGATTTCACCTAGTTTGCATTGTACCTTCGGTTGCAAAGCCACACGGGAGCTGTTCCAGGCGGCTGCAGTAATTAGCGTAGGTCGAGTGCAGTGTCGCGCAACATCCAGACCACCAAACTTATTTGACATTTCGTGCCTCATGCAAATATTAATGCCGATAGGGATGTATAACTTCACTACCGCCAAATGTTTAATTTGAAGGTTTTTGCTTTTTCTAACATTTTGGTGGGGTGCAGTACTTTGTAGGCTTAGTTGTGGTGGGTGATTAGAGCCAGATTAGCGCAGCGTTGCCACACCTGCATTGCAGTGGCATGCATATGCAGGGGGCCCCAATAAAAGGTTCTAACTGCCTTAACCGTCCACAGATTTGGAGTGTCGCAAGTTGCAGAGGTGGAGAGAGCGGTTCGCTTTTTTTTAAAAGGGGGGAGATAGCTAGATGTTTGCAGAAGCTGCGGGTGACCCATGCTGACCGCAACAATGGAAACATTTCAGGATTTCGCCAACACTTGTTTGCAGTTAGATTCGGTGGCTACACGGTGAGCGACGCCTGGGTAACTCCACGCCTGCATGCAGTGGAGTGCAGCTTTATCTTCTCGTGCATGTTGGACACGTAGGAACTGTCCTCATTAGCGTGCTGATACGTACATGTGCAACAGTGGTTTCAAATTGATGCACATTCGGACAGGGCTGTTTGCAGGCATTCTGGCTTGGTTTGGATTTGGTTGGGTAACTATATACTTGTTCCCTTCTCTGTACAGCATTAGGAAACTTGATGAGAATCCCGTATGGTCGTTATCTGGTAGTCTCCTTGCATTACCGACCCCTTCAGTGTTGCACCCATTCGTCATGTCGTAGTTCCCTATACCTTATCAACGGCAGTGGGTCTCAAGATTACTCACTCAACCGAAAAAGTTACTCCGCCGAGTCACACGTTCCTGTCGCGTCTCTGTAGCTAGTCTAGTAGGCCCATGGATGAAGAACTGTTGCGCCGCGTTCATGGTAAATTCATGATTCACTGGCCCATTCTATATTAAGCACTAATGCGGCTCCGATTCTTCCTGAGCTCAACAAAGGCTGACGCGGTAAGCACTCCAGCATAGACGGCGAGCTCCTGTGGTGCCAAACTAAGTGTGGGCTGTGTCACATGTACATTCCAGCTTAGCAGTAATTTTAATGCACGATCATGGTTTGGTGAGCCATGGTGGGGTCAACACAACAGTGGAACGTGTGGCAGCCTCCTTTTGTTAACCTGAGATGGGCCCCTCTGCTGAGAAATATTCCCTCTCCTCTGGCATGGCAGCAGCTGACGAACGCTCGCAATCCCGAAGTACTGCAGAGTCTTCCCATTTCTAAACAAATGTGGATGGTTATCTCAGTGGAGCTCATAGCGGGTCTACCATAAGCTCGACGTTATGATAGCAACTTCGTTGCCATGGATACATTCAGCCACTGTGCCCACCTGCTGCTTTAGGTCTGTGACACAAGGGACTGGGCCGAATATCCCTTCACTAATGACTACTCGCACCTGAAAGCTCCACCGTTTTCCGAAAAGTGTCATTGTTGGCAGGAACCCAATGCTTGTTAGCGCAGCCTGGCGTAAATTCATGACCCAGCTCAATGTCGAACAAACATGACCGCCACGACCCAGCCGGAGGCAGGCGGTCAAACTGAATCCATCCGCTGCACAATTTATGCAGCATTTGGCACTCTACACCCAGTAAAATTGACAAAGTTGGCTTGACTTCCTTCCCTCTGTACCACCGGAAAACATCGTGCCGAAGAGTGAACTATTTTTTCTAAAACAAAGCTCCTGACGACCGAATGTTCTCCGGCGTCACCGGTTTACAGCGGCGCAACATTGTCTCCTCCGGCGTTGGACTTCGTTTTTGGAAGCCTGCCCCGCAAGCCCGCAGCTGCCGACTTCCACATATAGTTTGCAGCAAATTAGGAATGTATGGAGGAAGCACGGGAAAACCAGGAAAGCAACTACGACAGAAGATGCTCAGAAAATTACCTGTAACACAGGCGACGTACTGTCGATTCGTACACTTTATGAAGCGTGCAGGAAGAGAAGCAGCAAAAGAAATTGCCAATGCTGAGGGTGGTTTGTTATTCGTTCTTGGGTGGACGCGACGGCCTATAAGTTAGGTTTATGCAGGACGTTGGTATGCCACATTTCCACTAATTTCGGCGTTCCAAAACGGTCAAGACAGCTACCAAAACTTACTCGAACCTCCGCGAGAAATCGGTAGTACGACCATTGCGGAAAGGTGCAACTGAAGGAGACTGAGATCCTGGACACACATAAAACGAGAGGCAGAATCCACAGAAGACGACAATAGTTTATTGAATGGCCTGGAAACCTACAACCCGAGTGTGCTTCTGACGTCCACCGCCTTCTCTGCAACGACCAGCAATGACAGGCTCAGCGGCGGCGACTACAGGTGTGGGAGCCCAACATTTAACCATTACTTGGTGATTGCTTTGCCCCTTGTATAGACGGCCTCATGTCTTTCTAGCATATTGGGACAACCGCAATGAACAGCGGCGCTCAACCCATGCACAAGGGAAAGGGACTCGCATTGGTCTATAGCAGGCTCATGCTTCCACACTACTGTGCAGTAGGCAGCACTTCCAAACAAACGCAATACGGGCACACGCCTTCAGAAGCCCACTTGTCCCCTGGATATGACACCTTGCGCCTACCCGCTACGTTTGTTGCTTGTTTATGGGGGTGGTCTTGCACATTGAACGCCTGAATGACCGCAAATATCGTGTGCGTCCCAGTGCCCGAAAATACACCCAACATATTCCCATCCGTGCGCGTGCGCAGACGTCACTGACACGACTCAAGAAAGTCAACATGCATCGTGTTGAGGCTGGTGTTGGCGTTGGGAAAGCAGGAGGAGCAAAAGGGAACTCAGCAGAAGGGAGGAAGAGAGTGGTTCGGAAACGAC